TCAAAATATATCTATTTATTTTGATTGGATTTTATTTTTCAAATCAATGAAATGAATTAATAGTGAATGTTCCACAATTTTAAATAGTATATAACATAATGATCATGCAAAGATCAACAAAAGCAGCTTGCTTTTTATTACAAAGGATGAACTATAATATATTAGACTACCCTTTCATTTTGATATGTTAATAAGAATATTTATATAAGTGTTTTTTTTGGTAAGTAGAATATTTATACATGTTGTTATCTCAAAAAGCATATTATTTTAAAATTTTGATGTGTGACATGAAATATATTATAAACGTATACTTTATTTGAAAAACTGAAAAAATAAACCCAACCTACCTAACTTTTCTTTATAAAAAAGAAAGGCTGAAAAAAAAAAATTCTTACACATGCACGTAGACATAATCTCATAGAAGTGAAAAGAAAATTATTGGGCTTATGAAAAAGCACGTTGGGCTAACATGGAGAGTAAATTGGCAACATATATACATATATAAAGTCCAACAGAACCGTAATTTTAGGGGACGAAAACAAAAAACAATGAAAATCACATAACAGGGTATCAATAGCATCACCTGGCCTTCAAGTTGAACTAAACCCATCGATACACCACGAGGCCTTATGAAAACTTTTTTTTTTTAATGAAAAGGAAATATATATAAATTTGGACAACTATACAGAGTTTACAAAAGCACTAACATCTAAGCTTCAGGATTGATGGTACTAAGGAGATCCCGAGCAGAGATGGTGTGGCCTTATGAAAACTATTGAGCCTTGTATCTTTTCTCCACTTCCTCCAGACTTTGGATCTCCTTCTGATATTTACAAATACGGTATATACACCTGCCAGCACAGTCATTTAAAACCCAAACAGAAATCACAAACCAAATAAGGATAATTAATTTCATTTTATTTAAAAAGCAACGAGCTCGTCAGTTTAGACCTGAGCTCATATATACATAACAATTGATTTTTTTTCCCCCCAAAAAAAAGGTTCAGATAATGTGATACATATGATAGGCAAGGATCAAAAACCAAGCTTCCACAAGGGTGGTGTTGTTACTTACCAGTAGAGAAAGCATGCTGCAACACAAAGAATCACATTTCCCTGGGCTTCGTAGATCTAAGTGACACCAATTGATTTTCAATCAATGAGTCAATAGCATACGGCGCTTTTAAAGAAACAGGAATAGGAAAAGGCAAAAAAGCCAATTGAATTATATTATTCCATTGGAAAATTATGAATCTAACCATATCAAGTAATAAGTTTGCTGTCAATGCACATTATATGCTTGATATTGAACATTTATTTGGAAGTTCCAGCACAAGTTTCTTCTATGCATGTATAAATCTTGTCACTTGTTAGGGATCACAAGAAGCAACAGAAAGTAGAAATATCAAAGGAACATCCCCAACCTGATTATCAATTATCATATGCTTTAGGTAAAAATTCCATCTTCAGAAATTATAACCATCTTCTTGTTTACACAACTATGGATATCTATAAGAAAGATAACCTACAACATTCTTTCTGCATTATGCACACTGCTAACAGATCATGTGGCTAACTGAGTGAATTGGATTTGCTAAATATGCTTTAGATTGCAGCCTGCAGATGATCTCAGGAAAAGTAAACTCAAAACAAAATTAACAGCATTTAAAAAGAGAAGTTCATCCAACAGTGGCAATGAAAATTGGCCATAAGATGTATCAACTTTTTATAGTAGCAGTAAAGAGCTTCAATCAAAAGAAAGGTGAGGAGCTGAGAAAACATGTATTCCTTCTGGTTCAAAATATAAGATAAACTTTATTGGAAAAACTTGATTATTTTTATAAGATAACGTTTACTTTTGTCTAAAACGAGTTTTTTTTTTTTCAATTTTACCAAAGAAAACCGTCGTATCAATTACTATAATCTCAACTCAACAGAAATGAATATGACGAAACGAACCCGAACAAAAGGGGACCAAGACTTTGGAGATGGGCAGAACACTGAAGGCACAACAATTATTTACAATAACGATCAGCTTTCTTCTTGACGCGATCATCAAGGGCTTCCTCGATAGACTTGAAGTTGGTCTTGGGTTGGTAGCCAAACTTCTTAGCCTCAACCGGGAAAGCTCGTCGTACTTCATTTTCTTCGCGGCGTCGATCGTGTAGGTTTCTCCCGACCGTCCTCCTCCGTCGGCGGCGGAGGCCTCCTCCTGGTTCTCGAGTTTCGAAGAGTCGATTTCACCGTCGGCAGGAGCGTCGTTGTGCTTGTTCTTCTTCTTCTTTTTCTTCTTCTCGATGGTTTTGCTACGCGTGGCGAGGGTTCCGCCTTTGAAGCTCAACCTCCCTCCTTTCACTCTTTCGTATGGATCCGACATACTGTACTACGTTAATCTCCCGAGATTGTTCGCGTCTATATGAGGATTTCGCTTCTCTGCTTTATGTTTCTCACGCTTTCTGCTGAAGTCGGAGGAACCGGCGCTCTCCCCAAAACGAGAACACCGCCCTCTTATTTATCCCTCTTTTTGCAGACAAGCCCCCCAGCTTTCCTGTTATTTATAATTAATATTATTCCCCCTCTCTCTCGTGTAAAATTAGCTTCTAGGAAGAGTTAGGAGATTTTTTTCCCCCTTAATTCTTATCCGTGACGTTGTATTTTTTATTTTATTATTAATGCATTTTGATCTTTATCCGAAGAAAAATTACGCAAAGGAATTTTTTATTCACAAGTATCAAATTTACGATTTATAATAAAACAAGAAAGACCGCCACATTTTATTTTTTTTTTTTTTTTCTCCATAAGTTATTGTATGCCTCCTTTAATTTCAGACCTTCTCCCCTTCCCGACTTTTCTGAGACGGATGAGGAGTAGTTTGTAGGGGCTGTTTTTGTTTTTGCGTTGTTTTTCTGTATTTTCTTCTTGTTGTCCTTTTTCATTCAAAAAAAAATTTCAGACCTTCTATGAGTAAATACCATTTATATATGGCGGCATACTTGGGTACACATATAGAGTTGTTAAATTTCTCTTAGTTTCTAATTTTTGTCATTTGTTATGATTCGTCTTTTTTTTTATTTCACTAATCAAATTGATGAGTTTAAAAAAAAAAATTAATTTCGATTAACAGTCAGAATCAAGCTAAATGAACTTAGTGAATATGGTTGGAGACTCTAGTCTTTTTTATTCCATGAGATTATTATAAAAGCTACAAATATTTTAGCACATACCAATGTTTCAAATGAGTCTTTAATAGAAGGATTTTTGTGTTTAATTGGAAAAAAAAAAACCAAGAATGTTATGTCTCCACTAATATTTTTCTTGGGTGATAATAACTAAATAAACACAATGACGGTGGGAACGAAGTCACAGGACTGTTATTATTTTTAGCGCTAAATGCTACTCCCTCCGTTCCTTATTAAAGAGACGAATAACCGAATTATGTTGATCAAAAAATAATTAAAATTAGTTAGGAACAATTAATGTGTAAAAAGTATATTTTTTTTTTTAAAAATGCCCTCATTAATAAGGAGAGAGAGCATGAGAGAGAACAATAGTAAATTCTTAAAAGAAAGAGAAGTGGAAAGGAGAGAGAGTGTAAGTTGGAAACAATAAATATGGGTAAAATAAGAAATCAACACAAAAAAATAGAGACAACTTTTAAGTGTCTCTTATATTTTAGAACATGCTATAAGTATCAAATGTCTCTTACAATAAGGAACGGAGGGAGTAATTATCACCACCACTGTCAACAGCTCCACTCAGCCAGCCATCACTTTGCAAACAGAATGTATTCGTGCAGCGCATTGCTTCTGATTTATCAGAGGCAAATTTCTTTTTCGTTTATATACTCCTCTAATCATAAATTTAAAATTAAATTATAAAATAAGTGTTAGATTCAGAGCCAAAAAAATACAAGACCGCATTAAATAGTCAGGCAATACGTACGTCTGCCTTGTTGACAATAACCTACTTGAAAACTTGTGACAAGTTTTGTAGCTGAATTAGTTGATTGAAGCGAATCAGAGAAAAATGTGATTTCGTTTGATTTCATATACACACACGTTGGCAAACAAATTGGAGCACATTCCCTTATTTCTATCCTAATAAGTAACAGCTCTCATATTTAATCTATCAAAACCACCCTTTTCCTCTGTATTTAAACAAATCTCCCCAGAATACGTGACCGTCTTTGGATGGGAAAAAAATAGAAAAAGAAATAGAAAAATCCCCTCCTTGAAGTGGAAAAGTATGCGAATGAGAACAAAAGGGATGGAGAGCACATATTTTCTCCAAAAGTGAAAAGACTTTGAAAATTAAACATGTTTTTCAAAATTAAAAAATATCAACTTATTTTTTCATTTTGATTATTCTCTCATTTATATCCCAAGAGATGTTGGACCAAAAAAATATCCCAAGAGATGAAGAGAAAACATTTTTCACTCTACTTTTTTCCTTTCACCAATGTCTTTCCTCACTCATATAACGGGTCATATGGCCAAAAAAAGAAATATAATGGGTCATAACTCGTAAGAAAGCTAAAATCATCCAAGGGCTGACCTCCCAAAAACATGGAAGACAATTTCTTTATGATCATAAAAACGCGTACAATATGTTCCTCATCCACTCTAATTATTTTCTGCAATTATGTTAAGCTACCTTTCATGATAAATTTGTTCCTACCGCACAAAGCTTCAACAATTAAATCAAAATGGCTAAGGATAAATAAAAATCTAATTGAAGAATTACTATAGCCTAAGAAAGCTGCTCTGATGAGGTCTTTCATAGAATCAACTTGGCTATTTCGTTGATGAATTTCTTCTTTATGTATCTCAACCAATTGCATATTAAGTTGATAATTACTCAATCTATTTCAGTTTTATTAAACAGTAATTACGTAGCAATAGTTTAAATGACAATTACCTTATATCAAGACAGCCCACATGACAACATTTGAGTATAAAAAAAAAAAAAGATAAAAAAAAGAGATAGACAGAACAAGTAAGAATCAAAAGAAATGTTGCCAAGGTGACAACAATGAAAGCAGCTAGATTCAAACATCGAATTTCTGAAGGGCAAAACCATACCTGAGATGTATTGAATTCGGATTATAAAGTTAGATGAATAAAAGCGCCACACTGGTTCATAAACGAAAAAGCCAACAACGAAAGACCTACAAGTTGATGTCAAAAGTTTTCCACAGCATAGAACATGAACCGATAACTCAAATTCAATGTAGAAAAAACCGTATAGGTACGATCGTTCGGCACAAAGATCTCAACGGTAAGATTTCTGGAACCTGGCACGAGCACCACGACCACCGAATTTCTTGGGCTCGCACCGCCTAGGATCAGCGACCAGCAGAGTTCGATCGTAACTAACGAGAATATCCTTAATCTCCTTCTTACTCTGCTCATCCACGTACTTCTGGTAGAAAGCAACGAGAGCCTTAGCTATACTTTGGCGAATAGCGTATATCTGAGAGGTGTGACCACCGCCCTTGACTCTGATACGCATATCTACACCGGCGAAACGGTGTTTTCCGAGCAGGAGGATGGGTTCGAAGGCTTTAAATCGGAGAATCTCCGGCTGCACAAGTTCAATCGGACAGCCATTGATCTTAATGAGCCCACGGCCGCGCTTGCAGTGAGTCACAGCGACGGCGGTCTTCTTACGGCCGAAACATTGCACTTGTTCAATTGGCTGCGCCTGAGCCATTGCTGCTGTGCTCCCTGCTCTCCTCTCGTCTCTCCAAAACCCTAGCAATTACTGCGCGACGAGGGAAGAGACTTGCTAAACGCTTCCTTTTAACATTTTGAGGGTTTTTACAGAAAGAGGCCCGGCCCAGTAATATGAGAAAGAAATGGGACCTGGGCCCAAGTATAGCTCGGCCCAGGTTTTGAATACGATTTGCTTATGATTGGATTAAATTCCATCTTGGACAAGTTGACCTAATTGTACCCCCCAAAAAAAAAGTTGATCTAATTAGTAAAATTTTGACTCATAATCCATAAATTTATGGATTCAGATCTTATTGACAATGCGAAAGTCTTGTTAGGGGGTGAATAAAAAAGATTTTTTATAAAATTAAGAAATTAGAATGAAATTATGTATGAAGATAAAGGATTCAAATACACCATTTTTATAAATATTTTAAATTTTTTCTTTTATTCAAAATTATCTTTAATTTTTTTCCATCAAAATCATCTTTAATTTAGTATGCTGTAAAATCATCTCTCTGTTTTTTTTTTCAGATGTAAAATCATCTTTTAAATTTAAAATTTTACTCACCTATATGCCTATTAATTTAATCACTCATATATTTACCTTGCACTGATAGTAATATTTTTGCGTTGGAAAGGAAAAAAAAAACTCCTCTTGTACTTAATATAAAATTTAATTGGTGAGTTAATGTTAATCTTATATATAAATCTTATTTCACATATTTATTTTTTTTTCCTAAATTAACTCTATTATATTATCTCAACAATAATTAAATAAAAGAGGAAAAAAATTAAAGAGAACGCTTATAATATTTTAAAAAAATATATATCATATTAACTAATTTAATTAAAATCTTTAATTTATTTAAATTAGTTAATTACGTCTTGTATTAAATACAAATAATGATATTTTTGTTATTTCGACTAGAAGAAGAAGAGCACGGAAGAGAAATTTTCCGAAGCAATTATTCATGCGGCCTTTGAAGTGATTTTTTTTGGTTCTTTGGTAGTGATATTAAAGTGATCAAGTTGTATTCTGAAATATTTCTACATGTAGAATTTACAGGACAAACAAGGTCGCCATTTCTTGCAACTATGAATCTAGATCATACACCAGACCAGAACCTTAACTTGGGGAAGGAGAAAGATATCTAATTGTTAGTACAGAAGATTTTTTTTTTTTTTATGTTCTTAAGATTTTCTTTCAATCATATTCCAAGTTCCAAACCAGAATCTTCAGGTACCCAATTAAGCTTCTCGTTCTGTTCTTGCTGTTCCAGGGTCTCATACAACGGAGCATTTCTAGTCTCAGGAAGCCACAAGCTCATCAACCCACTACTGATCGATAACAAACCAAATACCAGAAACGATAGTGACGGACTCAAACGTCCCAACACTACCACCAATGGCGCCATTGAAGCCCCCAACATCAAAGCTTGTCTCAACATCGAAACGGAGAAGTTCCTCACATTTGTGGGAAAAGCTCTACACAATAAACATATAGGATGTCAAATGCAGTAGAAGCACCCATGAACCCGATTGCTTCGATGATCAGTTGAGCCCAATTCCCTCCTATTTTTTGTTCCTTCAAACTGTTTGATACTTTTCCTGAGAGAAAAGTGCAAAAGATGGAAGAAATCCCAGCCATGTAAGTGGACACAGAGAACAGTAAGCGTCTGTTGGTGAAGCCTAAGAGGAAGCTGCTAATTAAAACCGCAGGGATTTCCATTAATGCATTGAGCGAAACTGAGATGTAAAGATTGAAGTTCAAATTTTCAACATTCAGTTGAATCCCATAGTAAACAAACCCAACTCCAAACCCAGATAACATAACAATAGCCATTCTTTTTGCAGCCCATTTTGTAGTCCAAAGGCTCTCTTTGTTGTTTTCTGGGTTTGTTTCATTTTCACTGGTGGTGCCCTGTTTGGATCCTGAAGGGTTTGCCAGGCGGAGTGTGTCAGGGAGCTTTTTCTTCCCATTGAGTCTAGCATATCTATCTAGCACTGCAAGTGCTTCTTTGGCTCTTCCTCTGACAAGAAGCCAACGTGGTGACTCCGAGACAAAAGGGAGGCATAGGATAACGTATGCAAGAGGGAGAAGGGAAAAGATTCTGTATAAGTTTCTCCAGCTAGTTCTGGTTGGGTAAGCCAGAAGAGGGAGGGAAAGAAAACCGATTGTGAAGAAGAAGAAGCCATATTGGCCCACTTGACCACGCCATTCGCGCCCTACTGATTCTGTGGAGAGGACGAGGCAGCAAATGCCAATTCCAGATCTGGCAAAGCCCATTGCAAAGCGTAGGACGGCATAAACCCAGACATTTGGGGAGAGAGATGTAGCAAAGGCTGTTATGGAGGTTAAGATGCAGGAAACCAGCACTGTTCTTTTTCTCCCCAGCCAGGAGTCAGCTAAGCGACCAAACACAGCAGACCCTGCAACAAAATTTAAGCAACTAGTAAGTGTTTATTATTCATCAAGAACAGTATCAGGTAGATCAAGTAAATTATGAGTAGAGATACATATTAGCATGATATTCATTATAAAGAGTCTCTCCTGTGACAAGTCTTTTGCACCATAGCATCTAATACATCTGCCTAACAATACAAGTGACTATTTTAGAAACTTGAGATTAAATAACTTTAATAAAAACGTGCTGATGGACGAAAAGGTTGGAATTGATGGATTCTATCTCACATCATTTAAAACTTCTAAACAATTGGAGTTCTTTTCCAACACCAAATAACGTTAGCATGTCTTGCATATCAACTAGCGGCCACACTGCTTACTTGTATTGGCCAATCTTCTAGTGATTATCTTTTATTTCAATGAATTTATTCGCTGATTCGAGAAGTAAAGCCTTGCTCTCAGTTAATGACTGGGATTCATTAAATTATGGCCTTAACTCAAGAAGGAGAAAGGTTAGAAGAGGGAGAAAGCCCCCTCATAAGCCAAGCAGACTTAATAAACAAAAGATGTACTTTAACTGGTTGAGGAAAATCCACTAGGGGTGATATGGTGTTTATACTTCAACTCAGAAATATAAGCCGGTAAGTGAAAGTACATAAATAATTTTTGGTTCGAGCCATCATATTGTTATGTAGAAAACAAAACAGGAATTTAAAGAAGTAAGGCTTATGGAACAGGTATTATTTACCAATGAGAGAACCAAGAAAGAAGAAGGAAGACGGAATTGCAGCAAGAAACTTGCGGTCACATATGAGACCCCACTCAGCTAAGGTAGAACTTGTGTGGCCATTAATCCATTCCCAAGTTCCTGGCACCAATTCACAAACAGAACCACCAGTGCTGTTGCTGGAACTATTACTGTTGTTGAGGCACAGACCAGGAGCTTTGCACCTCCAAGCAGGTGGCTGTGCATCACTGAATATGGCGACCAGTGTACTCTGGGCATCAAATATCCATGCCAGTGACACTAAGAATACATGCAGCACTTGAGAGATCCCCAAGGACCCCACATACCCTTCTATTACTTCATCTACTGTGAGCTCAAGTTTTGTGCTCGCTGTTTCTTCTTCTTCTTCATCACTTGACAGAATCAGCTTTAGCCCTTCCTCTTCCATGGCTCTCACAATTAAACGATATGAAGCTGGTGGTTTTACTTGCTTTCTTGTTACAATGTCCAAACCCTTTATAATGTTGTTTAACTTACTGTTAGAAAACTATAAAAAAACATTAAAAAAAAAAAAGTAAATAACTTGACAAGGGGGTTATGAAATTCTTTTTTTTTTCTTTTCAATTTTTTGAACGAAAAGAAGGGAGGATAAGCAAATAAAACAAAAGAATATAAAACATTTACAGAAGTCAATGGCCTCAGTAAAACTCTCTGGAAATGGATTTTTCTTGCACAATATATATTGATCGAGAGATTCTCAAATATACTTGATTTACAAAAAATTGGAACAGGCTAATTCTGAATATAAGCAAATGTGATATGGGACCCATCGAAAGATATGTATAATACTCTTGCATGTGAGATAATTATTGGCTTACATATCTATCTGTCATGAATCGCCTATTATAACTTATTTAAATCTGTGTTAGTGATCATAAAAGAACTACGTCAAATACTGATAATGGAATATGAGATCAGAATGGCAATGACAGAAGCCACAGGCCAATGAGAGGATCATGTGAGAGCGTAAAGAGGCATGGAACCCTCTAGTCAACATCAGGTTAAAGAAATAGAATTGATCACTGGGCTAATACGGAACAAGAGTGATTCAACAGTATTAAAATGTTGGTGATGCTCATGTATGGCTCTGGTTAGGGAGGAAAAATAAAAAGCTGAACCAATCACTGATTGATATATGCAGGGCTGTTATTTCTTGGCTTAACCAGGTGGAGATCATTCTCATATTGTGAGCTTTGAAGCTCCAACATTGCCATTTTTTGTCTTTGAGAAACCAACCCATCAGTAAATTATATGAGAAGCTATCTTTGGGTTTGTTCTCGAATTTTTCAATAAAGATCATGTCTTCAAAGAAATAATTTCTTGTAAATGATTTCTTGTGCTGATTAGTTAGCTTGATATGCTCATCAAATGGAAGATAATGCTCCAAGTTAGCTCTTTTCTTTTGTATAGTTTTTACCCTGCTTTGTCTGTACTTTGGGAAAAAAAATTCGAATAGATATAATGCTGAATTTTGTTTTCATTCTAGAAACTCGTCTTGCTCCTTTTTATCAATTTTTTTAATTTGTAATTCAATTAAAGAACATTATAATAACTATATCATGGGCTGCTCCTCAAACTGAAAAGAAAATTGAATTATCCAAAACAAAACGGATAATTTCATATATGTTAATACATATACTAATCAATTTTCTATTTTACTGCAAATGCATCCTTTAGAAAATAAGAAATTTTAACCTACATTTAAACCCACATAAATTCCTTGCAACAAAAAATTGTCCTTATCATGTTCAGGCTCAAACTTTCATGGTGTTATCTAAAACTAAACTCTTACTAATATATAATTTGAAAAAAGATTACTGATTGGATATCAAGAATTAAAGCGGACTTTCACACGTTTTTTTATTTTTTTTAAAATGTTATTTTCTTTTGATATGCATGGCATGATGAGAATTTTAAAAATTAATTTTAATAAATTTTACTTTTTAAGTGCATGTCCTTGTATCAATTTATTAAAATTGGACATGATTGAAGAAACGGTGCCAACCCACCGACCTTTCCAAAGTGCTACATGACTTGTTCAGCAAATTCTTAAGTTCATTCCCCAACCCCCGGATCTTTTTTTCTTGGTTGCTTTGATTAATTAAGAATAAAATCTCAAAGGTGGAAAATGAGTAAGCCTACAAATTCAAAGCTTTTTCAATTATTTAATTTAATCCCCTTTAGAATGGTAATAAATTAGGAAAAATATTGTCCACCCAAAAAATATAATCCGACATGTGTAATCAACTAACAATCTACATTATGTGTTGCTAATCAAACTATTTAATTTTGTTTGGTGAAAATAATTTTATGAATAAAAAATAATTATTGTATTAAAAAGTTTGAAAAAAATAAATTATTAAAATCAAAATTATAAAACTATCATAGACGTTAGTTAAGAAAAATAGTCAGAATCAGGCCAAAAAAAAATACTAATTTTATGAATAGAGAATAATTATTATATTAAAAAGTTTGAAACAAATCAAAATATTAAAATCAAAATTATAAAACTATCATAGACGTTACTTAAGAAAAATAGTCAGAATCACGCCAAAAAAATACTAATTTTTTTGACTAACTAAATGTGATTTTAGCCAAAAACTAATTGGAGTGATATTTTATTTTATTATGTTACATTATTATTTTTCATTATGTTACATTAATTTCATCCACTATCATTTCGTAATTTTCAAGAGTGAAATATCACAATCAACGCTGACGCTACGCACTAATCAATAGATTTATCGTATATATAATATCTGGATAATAAACAGAAGGGATATTATAAGCCATATGTACATAACATATATGTACACGTAAAATTGTCCATATAATAAAATATGGTTTAAAATTTGACCCAAAAAATATGGTTTAAAAGAATTCTTTCATTGAAATCATAAAAAATAAAATATGGGACAAAAGCAAAAAAAAAAATCTACATTTACGACAACATCGAACTTCGTTTACAAGAAGTTATGAAAATGGAAGGCTTACTGTATGTGAGGAATTAATTAAAAAAACATAATTAAAAAATCTAAATGTTTCAAGTATAAAAATTAGACGGAAAAAATAAAGGCAGAGTGAGAGGAGGGAGAAATTCACAATTGCAAAATTCAGTGTCCCTGCCACACAATTTCCAGAACTTGACCAAATTGTTGTTCACTTATAATTAATTTAGAGATTTTCTGTAAAATCTGAAACTCCAACGAATAAGTTCTCCAACCTTCAAAATCAATTTATATAGTAGGGTTAGTTTGATTTCCATATTAATAAAAAAAACTTGCAATTAAAATATTCTACCAATTTAAATTCAAAATATAGTAATTAAAAATTAGCCTGACCTACCTTATACATGCAAAGTTGTAATCCCTCTACTTCTTCTAGCACGTTCAAATGATGTTCTTCATCAAAATAACCAGCAACAAACAAGCCAAACAAAACCATCTCAACAATACTACCAATTAATAGAAATTATGCAATTTTGATAATTTGATAATTTGAAAATATATATAACAATATATCATTTCATAATTGTAAATTAAAGTACCAAAATGTTTCTCGTTTTATTTAGAAACTAATAATCAAAAGAAAAAATAAAAGAAAATTTGAGAAGAAAATCATTGGTGAATCACACACAAAATTATCATATGAGAAAAGGAGAGGTTTTTGGGATTTTTTTTTTTTTGTTTTTCAATTATTGGCTTCTAAATAAAATAAGTGACATTTTGGTATCTTGAAGTTATATGAAGCGGTGTAGTTTTTTTTTTTCAATGTTTCATAGACAAATATCATGAAATTGTCCAGCTTTGGCACTTCTAACAATGGTAAAGAAGTAAAGAAAACATATTACAGCTATATCACTTGGTAACTGTAAAATACTAAAATGTCTCTCTTTTTATTTACAAGCTAATGATTAAAAGAAAAATAAAAATAAATTGAGAAGATGGGACGTCGCAGAAGGCATTAATCAAATAAGTTCCTGGAATCAAATAGATACAGTGAATTGGTAGAAAATCATCGGTGAATCACACACACACACAATATAATCATATGAGAAAAATAAATGTCGTGAGGTTACCTGCAACTTTGTGGAACAGTCCAATGAGGAAGAGGTGAAGTTGTTGAATTACGATCATCTTGAGGAGGCAAAGCCATATATTTCTTCCAATCCTCAAGCAAGATCTTAAGATCATTGATCTTGTTTTCCAAGCCAATGCAGCAATTGGCATGCATGGTGCAGACCTGATCAAGGTTCTTACTAGTCTGACAAAAGCCACCAAAATAAGCAGTGTCCAGGAACCTGATCTGAAGCTTCATGCTGGAGATGAAGGGGTTCCATTTGATCCTGTTGAGCACATCTTGGTCATGAAGTTTAGGGTACAGTTTCCTTGAATTGTACCAGAACTTGTAGAACCATATGGTTCTGTTGTTAGATTTCACATAAGTGAATCCTCCATTTGGCATGTTCCTCATGTCTTGTGGGTTCCCATGGAAGTAATCACAAGCAATTTGGAAATCTGCATCCTTGTAAAATCTAGGAAATGGGTCTCTAAACCACATTATATCTGTATCCTGCAAACCAAAAACAAAAGAATCATGAAGTGCTTTGATTTGGTTGAAGCGCCTCTAAGAACAGTAGTATATGTGACCACGATGTTAGAAAATTGCTTTATTGCTTTCTAAAACAGGTTAACTTGCGGTCTTTTAAAATAATAAAGACCATCTTATATCAATGGATGGCCTAAACACGGAAGTTATTTAAGTCTGGTTAGCAGCTAAAGTGTGGGTCATTAACCCTTGAACTTATAAACCACGCCATACTTGGTGAGGTTTTCTGAGATGCGATTTATAATGCTTATCACATACACTTGATCACTTTCGAATTTGGGAAACCTCAATTCTTGCTAGTACTAGGATTGAGATGAATGTAGATGTCTGGTGTGAAGTATTGAAGAAGAAAGCCAAACATACCGTGAAGACAAAGCTGTAGCCCATCTCAAGGACAGAGCCCAGAAACTCAATCCTCTTCCACATCATGTGGAGGTAACCTGGGGTCATGAAGAAAGCTTCATTGGTGAAATTGTCGCTAGTTTCAAGGCGATAACAATGTGGGTGCAAGGCAGTGCAACGATCATGTGCCTTCTGGTCCCAGGTTACAACCACCAGGTGCCTCGCAAGCTTCTTCGTCTGCTTCCCAATTCGAAAGCTCTCCAGAAACAGATCAAATATGGATCCTGGTTCTGCCCACGCATCGTTTAGTGTTGTTATTATCACTGTCTTGTTCCCCATCGACGCACGTCTCAGAACACTCTCTAGCTTCGGATCATATTCTCCCTGCAGATATCATAATTTCGCACAAGCATTTCGTCAAACAGGAAAAAGGCGTTACAAAGAGCAAGTTATTAGTGCATCGTTCGGGAGAATCACATTTTGATCATTACTCTGTATATACACACAGCGGTTAGAGGTAAAACAGAACAATGAACTCACATGCATATGAAGATGTTAATCTAGTAGCTCACCTTTTGTAGCAAATTAAACTTACGCTTTGTACTAATCATGAGATAAACAAGTCATGCTTTGATGTTGTACGTAAAAGGTAGATGCGTGGGTGAGAGAGAGAGAGAGAGAGAGAGAGAGAGAGAGATTATACATACTATTATAGCCCATGCTTTGTATGCAATGGAAGATAAATCACATTGTCCCTGGTGTATATAAAAGAGATGTACATGCTTCTTCCCACCTCAAACAGAGGTCAGTTTAGTATTTGGTGTGATATTAAATATAAAGCTTCAGTACATTTTGTTTTTTAAATTTATAATTTTATTTTCAAGTTATCCTTATTAATCAATTAGAGGAATCAATACGAATTTATTACAAAAATAATTAATTTAATTAATTTTTTTAATATTTATAAATTATTTAGTGAGTACGTTATACATGGACTAGGAGAATAATAATTCAGGAACTCATTATAATTTGTCGTCACTCTGTGATGAACAGAGGTCTAGAGTTGAATACGTTGAAGAGAGGTGGGTTTTGGATAACAAGTAAGGGTGGGTGGTGAGGCATTAATGTCACATCCCAAATCAAATAAATAAGAGCCTTCAAGTTCTGACACTTTATTCCTTTCAGTATTTCACACATCATCCATCACCAAACACATACACATTTAGTGGCCTTACTGTACATCCCCCACTTGCATACATCATCACAAAGTTACAAAATATCACACACAGATTTCTCCAACAAGATGAGAGACGATAGCTATTAATTAAAATGTGGCCATTAAATATACACTTTAATGGATCTTAATTCTAACTTAAAAAAATTAGATGGACAGGTACTGATGATTTGACGTTGCAAATGAGATCTACAGAGTCAAGCCAAAAAAAAAATACCCTTTCCGGTCCTTAATATAAAACTCAATTTTAAGTTGGTTTTGATTCTAAATATAAGACCCATGTCTTATATTTATTAATTTTCTTAATCTAATCAAATTAGTTAAATTAATCTTGTATTAAGGATCGGAGGAGTATTTACAGAGGAGTCTTCGTGTCGTTGGACTTATGATTGGGCTTCCAAATTATTAGCATTTTAACCCTAACTTTAACTAAAAATGTATATAAGAAAATTAATGAAGAATAAAATCTTGTAAGTTAGAAATATGAAATTTTGAGTAATATATTTGAAAGTTCAACACTAGTAAAAATTATATTAATTTTGTATTAACTTTTTCCACAGTCTTCAATTGTCATTCTTTCTAAAATGAGCAAACTTTATTTAATTTTAAGTTTTAATTATTAGAAAAATAATTAATCATCACAAGAAATTTTTTAAAAATTAAGCTGTATTCACGTAATTTATTATGGTATTTCTTTCAAAAAGATATTAAACTACTAAACAAGAATTTCACTGTTACTAATTAAACTAATACTTTTTGTGAACATTAGTTATTTGGACAAATATCCCGTTTTGAAATCTAAATCAAATTGCTGATTTAAATATTAATTATTTTATCTCAATAAAATTAATGAGGTTTGGCTGAGTACAATTATTGAATTGTTCACGGGGTCGCTATTGCTAGAAACTAGAAAGTAATTAATTATTTTATTCAAATTCCAAATTGAAGAGGCTTATTAATTATTTTCCAAATATTTATCGAAAAGGTTAAAAAGGGTGAAGACAGTTTTAAAAAAATAATAATAATAACCCGCTACTTCTGCCACTACAATATTTACTGTGAAAGATCAAAACTTTTGGGCTGACGACTTGACTTGGCATGGGGCACACTTCCCTGTGGGGAGTTGAATCCGCCCACTTATTTCGCCATCACCCCAATTTTTTTAATTATATATGTGTCCCCACTACTTTCATTATTTGCAAGTATTGCCCCCACTATTTCCTTTTGGCCCCTTGAATTCTTGCCCTCTATCTCCGCTTTTCCCTCACATGAAAACTCATCCATGAAATTGAAATATCAACTCAACCCACAAGTAACTGCCGATATTATAATTATACGAACTTTTGAAAATTAATTATACCCCACTATTTCCCCTTCTTTCTAAATTCATCCCTACCTTTTTAAGTGATTCTTGTCCTGTATCGCCACTCACATGAAAACTCATTTACCAAAAGAAAAAAATTTAAAAATTGGGTAAATTAGTTTAAGAAAAAATAATAAATACAAAATACAAAATAGATTCAAATCTTATGTTTAAAACTAAATTCAACCTACCAAATGACTCATAGAGCAGAAGGACTAATAATTATCAAATTAGTAATAATAATTAACTATGTAAACATATTTTGCTTCATAAATCTAACTTTTTCCCCAAACAAAAAGCAACATGTATCCTCTCCAATAATAAAATATTATTATACATAATATATTAAAACTTTCAACAACCAAAAAAAAAGTCCAATCACAGTTATCTCGCTCTCCCTTAAACCGCGACAATAGAGGATTCAGTTTCACAACAGAACATAAGGGATTTCAAGAACACAGAAAAGAATCAAAACCTATGATTCAAAATCCAATATTGTTTCTGGGTTTCGCACCTTCATCAAGCAAAACCAGAATGGGCACCGCGATGCAAAACCAGACAAAACAGTGTAAGTTTTAGAGAGAGAGAGAGAGTGGTGACCTTGGTGACGGCGGGCATGGCGGCGGTGAGGTAATGAGAGATGACGGGGAAGCCGAAGGGAGACGCAGAGTTATACAGAAATACCCACAAGACGGTGAACCCCACGAACACGGCACTCATTTTCGTCACTCTTTTCACCAGCCCATGGCTGCCGGAGCCGCCGGAGCTCCACGACGGCGGCTTTGTGAGGTCGACGCCGGCCGATGATGAGGTTTTGTCGACGCTGCCGGCGATGACGGAATCCTTCATTACCGGTCAATGAACAATATGGAAGTCTCCGCTTTGGCCTCCTCGATCCCAATAGTATCAGTCGTTTACTTGGTATTCGCCAGCGAAGATACTAACATATAAATACACACACACACACTAATATTAAATTAAAAATTAATTAAAAAAATCCTATTTATATCACCCTTGATATATCTGAATCATAAGGTAATACGTCAGATAAAAACAGAAAAACATTGTTAGCGTGGTGATAAGGCAGAGAGAGTGCAAGCAAGTTGGTACATTAAAAAATGAAATTAATTATTTTTTAGGAAATTAAATTAATTATTTGGAAAAATAGCAAACAAAAACCCCCCAAATTATCAAAATTACAAGGAGGTCACCTCAATAAGCCAAATTGCCAGGAGAGACTCAATCTCAAGTTGTAATTAGCAAATGTTGGCGAAAAGACGAAATTACCCCTCATTAAATCAGCTTCATTAACGAAGGCTGAGACAAAGAATCTGATCGGTGGAGAGCTTGGAGGAGAAGACTGAGTGGTACACAAGCTTGAGAATCAAGTAAGTAATGTTTCTAAGTAAACTACTCTTCTTCTTCTCTACCCTCTAAGACCAAGGAATGTCATCTTGTTCTTAAATGTAGCGAGTGACATTGTGGGTTGTTGGGTGATAGGTATGGAGGGAGTGAGAGTCAGAGTTGATTATAGAATAATGTTGTTTAAGGGGGTTTCAGTTGGGTTGAGCTTCAAAATTTTTGTCTTTGTAGCTAGATTGTTGACTTGTGATTTTCATGGGACAGGTTGCCACTGATTTGTGCTAGGAATGTCACGAATGGTAGAGTCCGAGAAGGAAAATGGAAGGAGGTAATGATTGTTAGTTTGAGTGTGAAGTTTAATGTGGTGCAATGAGGGGAGGGAATGAAGATCTTGTCATTTAGAATGTCGAACTTGTAAAACCTTAATGTCAAGTAAGGAAGAGAAGAGGTAGTTGGTCTTGATTTCTAAATGCAAACGATTCGTTTGATCGAATAAAAGTATACTGAAGTTGATATATTTATTATATGTAAATTTTTGTTCCAAGTTAGCACGAGAAAATGAACTGTAACAATAGGTCAAGCTATTAGAAGGATTTGTTTTGTTTTTTTTCATGTTGGTAGGTATTCTGAAATAAACAAGAAAGGTGAAGTTAAATACGTTGAGGAAGTGTGAGAGCAAGCAGTATAAAAGAAGGGATAATACTCGAGAAATTAAGGGAGATAATATCCCAATAGATAGACAATGATGTTAAAGGGTGTGAGATTAAATACACAGTTAAGTTTGCTGACAGCACACTAATTGATCTTTATCATGAAGGTGATATTTGTAATATGTTTAGATATAATGATAACAGTGCTCATTTATATATAGCAGCAAAACCTCCTCATCCCTCTCCTAACTATCTTCATCATCATTCTCTCCATCATCATTTTCCTTCTCCTCCTCCTCCTCCTCCTCCTCACTTGTCTCATCATCACTCCCCCAATCATCCTTCTCCTGACTTGTCTGATCATCACTCCCTCTGTCATCCTTCTCTTTCTCTTTCTTCTCACTACTCTCACCATCACTCCCTCTATCATTCTTCTGCATAGTTTCACTAGTCTCACCAACATTCTGTCTCTCCTCATCATCATCTTCAGAGCCACTGACAATTGATGTGAGTGTCTCAGCATGAGCTTTTCCTTTTGTCTTGCCATTTCTCTCTCTTAGAATGTGCACGCTCAACAGCTCCTCATCTATCATATTCATCAACCTCTGATGGCTTTCTTCTATCCTCTTCATTAATTGTGCATGTAACTGCTTCAGCTCCGATATGAAAATGACGTTTATCAAATAACAAGCTAACTACACTATAACAAATAACAACCTGTCACTATTGCGAATAACAATTTTGGTATATCAAAATAACAACTTTACTATATCAAATGGACAAGTTCAATTTACCCAATCACAACTTTGGAATTATAATTAGTAACTTCGATACATCAAATAACAACAACACTATAACAAATGACAAGTTCACTTTACCCCATCACAACTTCAGTCTTATAATTAGCAACTTTGGTATATCAAATAATAACTATATTATAATAAGTGATAGGTTCACTTGACCCCATCACAACTCAAGTATAATCAATAATAAATTTATCAAATAACAACCCAAACCAAAATTTAGCAAATGACAAATTCACATTACCCAATCACAATTTTGGTACCGTATTTGACAAGTTAAGTTTATCAAGTAACAATGTCAACTATAGCAAATGACACTTGATCCACTCACAACTTAAGTTTTATATATAGCAAGTTCAGTTTATCAAATGACAACATAACTATCACAAACAACAAGTTCATTTCACCAACAGTATCACTCTACCAAAGATACACATATTGGATCCAGAGAGTCAACATTTATCCTCTTGTCTTTGCCAAATACAACATCACTCCCTTTCTCACCATACAAAATCCCCCTGACGCTCTTCCTCTCAGTACTCGCCAAGTATTTGATCTTCTCATCTGTCCAATATTGGATAGCATTGGCAGAGCCTCGTTTTGCACCTTGGCTGAGGTTAAAATGCTTACCGAAAAAAAGCTACAACACCACATATCATTACCAATTACATTGTTCATATCGCCAATAAAATTAAACACAGTGAGAAACAAAATAGTCATACCAAAAGCAAGTATATGCAGCTACCAACAGAGTAGGCCATTTCATTCCATAGGTCCTCCATAATATGTGTTGCCCAATCATACTTTTTAAAGTCATCCATTATGGAACGCATGACTCTCACCAGCTTCTCACTCACTTCTGAGCTAGATGACAGATATAAAAAGGTACCTAGCGTGAATAGGATAAACAAGAATTCAAATATGTGATCCTCCTCCCCAAAAATAATATCATTCAGTATTTTGTTGAATGACACTCTCTGATACTCACTCTTCAAGTTCTTGTATATTTTATCATCCTCTCAAACTTCAATTTTAATCTCCTTCCCACCATGGCGTATTCCTAGGAGCTTATCAACATGTTCTGGTCTTATTTCCTCAGTTTTTTTCCCACCAATATAAAGAGGTACCTAGTGTGTATAGGACAAACAATAATTCAAATATGTGATCCTCCTCCCCAAAAATAATGTCATTCAGTATTTTGTTGAATGACACTTTCTGATACTGATTCTTCAAGTTCTTGTATATTTCATCATCCTCCAAAACTTCAACTTTAATCTTCTCCCCACCATGGCGTATTCCTAAGAGGTTATCAACATGTTCTGCTCCTATTTTCTCAGTTTTTTCTCGGATTGTAAATTGATATGTTAGTGGGTCATATGATCTTAGCATAGTCACAATGAGATCACGGGGGAGTCTCTTCAATCTAACCTTTAACAAGCTTCCAAATCCTATCCTTTCCACCCTATCCCTTAACTCATCATCATTATTCACAAAGTGTGGTAATTTCTTAAAACCTTTCATGGACACTCGGGTTAAAAATGATGGTACATATTTCTTTTTTTCTCCTCTTTTATCTTTTCTAGCCTTGTTTTCTTTGTATACTCTGTGTGCCTCTTCCTCTTTCATCAGACAAAGCTCTCCATGCCTTTGACAGAACGTCTCTTTTTGTTTGCCTCTGATATCACTGTCACCTAATGTTGCCAGATAATCCCTTTTGAACAGCAACCAGCCATTGTGTACTAGTTTTGATGTCGAGGCTTTCTCATTTGCCATGTCTTTTTTCCTACAAAACATTCAACATACAATAATTCACTAAAACAACTTATTAATTAACTAACAACAACTCTGTCAACACTCATTCTGTCAATCAAACGCTTATGATAAACTTGTTATTTTCTCTACAAAAGTTGTCAAATCTTTAAACTCAACTTGTTATTCCCATCTACTTATCATAATTGTTATTTCTAATCATACACGAGTCATTTACAGTTATTAACTTGTCATTTGAAATGATAAACTTATCAAATTATCATACTCATCTTTGTTATTCAAACAAGTTATTTCCTATTATCAACTTGTCAATTCCTTATCGCAATCTTGTTATTCACTATTACAAACTTGTTATTTCTCATTACCAACTTGTCAATTTTGCATTGACATCTTGTTATTCCCAATTAATCAACAACTTGTCATTTACTATTATTAAATTGTTATTTTGATTACTAAACTTGTCAAATCCCACCATCCATCTTCTCATTTACAACAAAACACACTTCAGTACCTCTTTAATTCAATTTAACTTTACCAAATCTGTATTGTTATTTTCCCAGCTATTATTGTCATCTACGAAACTGATATTGTCATTCCCTCTCCACGCAAACACCATTTCCACAAGTTATTTAACAGAAAAAACATATATAGTTCACATCAAAACATTCTTCATCACTCAATCACAATTGGGTACTTCTACTTTCTCGTCCTAAACTCTTCTCGCCAATGAATCACATTCTTGTAGCAACCAACCCAAACAAAATTAGCCATCAAACTTACCATAATTAGTCACCCAACGTAGATGTTGACTTTGATCACCAATCACGATTGCTGCCCTATTGTTCAACGGTGCCTTGTCTTTCCCTAAACCCTTCCACAATGCCGATAAACCACTATTCTGTTTACTTCTGTTACAGCAAATATGCTCTTTACGGTTGCAACACTCCTCTCGACACTACTCTTATGGCAAAATGGCAGTAAGGAGGTGCGCGAGAATAGGGGGAATGCAAAAAAAAAAGAAAAAGTGGGAAGTTGTTGATAGTAGGGGGACTACGTGCCACGGTTTCAATTTGTTCAAATTACTGAGGGGCTATTTTGTCTTTTCACTTACATTTGCTAATTGCAATTTGAGACCGGGTCCCTCCTGACAATTTGGCTTATTCAGGTAACCCCTTTGCAATTTTAATAATTTATGGGTCTTTATTTGACATTTTTGCTAATTATTTTATAAAAGAAGAGATTAAGCTTCTAGATTTATAATCATAGAATATTTGGTTTGACGGCATTAGGCTGCTCTGACAATTTGCAGGCTGGTTTTACAAGAAGTGGAATATTCTAAAATATGTGA